TTGTTGTATATTATTATTATAAATAATATATTATAATATTTTGTATGCTAATATTGTTTTGATTATTATTTTTATAAAGATCAGGTTTATATTTATCTGATTTCACTAATAAAATTCAGATAAGTTCAGTTTTTCTTTTTGGTATTTTGGATTGTATCTATATTTAACTGAATCAATATTTATTGTTTTTAAAATATTTAAACCAAAATATTTTTAATTATATTTAGTTCCATTCACCCTATTAGTTTGTAAGATATTTTATAACAATCTGTATGATTTATGTTTTTATTATTTGTTTGCTAAATTTATGTAAAGAAGTAGAAACATAAAAAACTAAGTGTTAATGTAATTAGAGTTGCATAATATAATCAACGTTATTCTAAAACTACGTGCATATTTAAATATTCATAAATTACCTAACTCATAATAATAGAATTGGTTAAATTTAAATGTTTCACTTTCACTTGTTTAAGAGCTTAAGGTGTGTTATAATTAAATGTATGGAAATTAAACAGAAATGTTTTAAATTTTATGTTGTCATCTTAGTTTGCCAGATGACTTGGGTATAATAATTCATAGCAATTTGATTATTTATTGTTAAAAAATATTGAACTGCAACAATCCCTTTAAATTGAACTAACCATATTTTCGTAGTTCTAGTTAGGCTACAATGTCAATAATTTTATTCTTTTCATCTAGTTTAGTACTCCTTCTTACATTTGTCAATAATTTTATTCTTGTTACATTTTAAAACACATGAAGAATTTAAAAATATTAAATATCTCTCTTTAAAATTAAATAATTAGTAACTTGTATTGCGAAACAAAAATAGCATAAATATTTTGTAGATAATATATATAATTATTAAAGAATATAAATACATAAATTAAATAATAGATTCGTTGATTATTAATAAATCCACAATTTGTTTTTAAACTATTTTTATGTCAAACTAATTCTTATTAATCAAGTATACATTGATAACTTACTTTTGAAAGAAAAAAATAACTTAAGAAGAGTTCATAAAAACATCCCAAATAGCTTTAGAAATATTTATAGATATCTTTCTGGAAAAAATAAAATAAAAGCTACTAATAAAAACTAAAATAGAAATATTGATAATGGTGATATATAATAATTTTATGATATTAAATTTATCAATGTAACTTTCCATCATCAAAATTAACGTAAATGTAAACGTATAAAACTGATTTTTTCAAATAATAATATAGAAATAATAATCTATTTGCAGAAAACATAATATATAAATTGATTTAATAATCTAATATTTTTGTCATTAGTTGAAGCTATGGCCAAATAACCCTATAGAACAAGAGGTCAAGACTCCAAAATGGACTGTACCAAATGGAAGATTTGGTTAAGATTCTAAAATGATATATTATAGATACAAATGTAAATTTATTGTTCGTTATGGGCTTATTATGTAAAATTGATACATTGGTTTATTATGTATAATTAAAACTTTAAAATAAATCTTATATATTAAAATAGAAGTCATGACTTTATTTCATATGTTATATTTTAGAAAATGAACCGTTTTTAGAAAGTTATGTTTTATTTATTTATTCATATATTATCTCACTATAATAACTACTTTGCCTATAATATTGGTTCGATTTACCAAAATAATTTATCATCGTTAATAAATCACATTATAGATACACGAGTATAGTGACTTTCTCCTATATGGCAACCTTAGTGTATATATACTTTATAAAGAATACTAAAACAAATCTAACCTATTCTTCATAAGGGTGCCTCTTAAACCGGTTTGGTTTATACAATAAATAAATAATGTGGCAGTTTAAAACAATTAACTGAATAAACAAAAATATAAACAATAATCTTATTTTGTTTGAAAACATAATATAAATATATATTATATACATAAAATTGAAATAACACCGGTATGGTTGCTCAGATCAATATCTAAAAATAGAAACAAATATTTATTTTAAAAATAATATTTTAAAATACTTCTTTTATTTAATTTTGAAAGTTAATCAATTTAAATTGTTATTATCATTAAAATATGATTAAAAGTATTTTACATATTTATTATTTTTTTGCAATCAAAACTAAACTCAATTTTATTTTTTAATTGATTTTATGATAATTTTAATTAACTAATTTCGAAATTATATTTTAAAAGATTCTAAAAGATTTTTGAAAGATTTTGGTAGACTTTTCTTTGAAATATTTAAAAATAAAAATAAAAATAAAAATATTAACAGATATTATAATTAATTTACGTAAAATTTAAAAGTAAAGATATTTAAAAATTTCTAACAAACTAAAAAAAAAAGAAGATTTCAACAAGATCTCAATTCTTAAAATTTTATGTAAATATTCTAATTTCTTAACTAATAAAAAATATTACTATACCTTAATATATAAGTCCAGTTATTGTATATAGAATGAAAACTAAATATTTTATCATATTTTATTTATTTTAAACATTAAACATTCATATAAAAATAATTATTATACTGAATTAAATATAATAAAGTTATGTTAAATATATATTTTAAATTTGTTTTGAGAACACATGAAAGTCATCTAGGCATTATATTTTAGAAGACTTCCTAGAAGCCTTCCAAAGTCTGATACATATCCGAAAAACATGTATATCAAGCTCAAATCTGAAAAATCTGCAAAAAAAGATAGATTAATGAGAAAGATATGAGACAAAACTGAAAAGTTCATATAAAGTTTGGTGTTTTCAAGTCAAAGAGATTGTAATAGGTTTGGAGAATTTTAGTTTGGGAGAAATGTAAGAATTTTATGCAACATGAGTTACTAAATCAAGAAAAAGTAGACTTAAAAACTTATCAGAAATCTCAGGTCTGATTTAAAAGGGAGAGACATGTGAGAAGATTCCGTCAAAAGACTTCCTAAAAGTCATCTGGAAGATTTCTTGAAAGTCGTCTGGGAAGATTTCATGAAAATCTTCTGGAAAACTTCCTGAAATTTTTTTAACGCATTATATTTTACACGTCTAACAGGTAATTCGTCTTAGAAGTCTTCTAGATTTGACAAACCTGCATATCCAAATTCAAATCTCAAAAACATGCATATTCGCAAACGTTCAAATGGCTTAAAACAACGAAAATTAGATAAATATACTTTTATAGAACACATAAAAATAAATATCTAAAATTAATAAATATACCTTTAAATGAGTGGAAGATGAGAACCATGTGATGAAAAAATTGCAAAAACAAGATAAATTAGTGAGAAATACATGAGACAAAAATAATAAATTGATATAAAGTTTGGTGTTTAGAAGTTCAAAAATATTAGATAGGGGTTGGAGTGTTTTAGAATGATGAACATTACATTTTTGTTGCAACCATTTGAGAGTAAGGGAGAACGTGTAATTTTTTCTTTATATAGGAAGACATAAAAAATCTAATTAGATTAAATATTTTTGATTCATAAGACTTCCTAGACGACCAGAAGATAGACAACTTAGTTGTAAGTCGTCCAGAAGACTTAATATTTTTTAATGAGAAACTAAAATATTAGGCGGGAATATTAGGACGACTTACATGTAAGTCGTATGGTTTAAATTATTCACCAGATGACTTTCAAGTAAGTTGTCTAGGCGCTAAACATAACTCCTAAATGAAATTAATTAACTAAACACTTCATAAAATTAAATTAAACTTAAATAGTGTTTATTATATACAAAAATAAACACATATAGGTAAAAGTTTAATTTAGCAGAAAAACATTTTATATTTTCAGTTTTAGTTTAGTAAACAACTATTATTATGTAAAATTTTATTTTTCTTTTTTTGAATAAAATAATATTTAAGCGAGAAAATAAAATATTCTTGAATTTTAGGCAAGAATATTAGGACGACTTACGTGTAAGTTGTCTAGTTTAAATTATTCACCAGAAAATTTAAAAATTAATCATCTAGACCCTAAACATAACCTTTAAACTTATAAAATCAAGTAAAACTTAAAAAAATGTTTACTATACACTAAAATAAACACATATATGTAAAAATTTAATTTTCAAAAAGATATTCAATATTTTCAAAATCTTAACCTAAGATGACATACAATACTACAACAGTATGTTATTAAATCCTAAAACCAAAGAAGATCATGATCAACTACTTTGAGTCATCTATACTAAAAACTATTCAATTTTATTATATTTTAATTTACATCACTTAAAACTATTTATAATTACATGATCTTAATTTTTTCACTTGTCAAAATATTTTTTAAAAATACTAAAATAAGAGATATTAAAATTTATTTTTTAAACACAACCAGGATAACCAGCTGTATTTAATGATTGAATAAAAAAATATAAACAATAAGATTATAAAGTTACACAATATGTAACACGAAAATATAAATAACATATTTAATTTTTTTATGATAAATATCAAATATATGTTTTTATAAAATAAAAAATATATCAAATTCTAATTCATATTATAGTAATACAAAATATATAATCAGCCTACATCTTAGTTTGTTTTGCAGCGGTAACCAAATTCAAACAATAGTAATGTTTATAAATATGACCGGGTGAGTAATAAAGATTTGTTTTTTATTAAATTACAAAATCATTAATGCTACTGGTATCTAGTGGCGTCTCAAATTATTTTCAGACTTTGTTCAGGAAAAATATCAACAATATATTTAACATTAACAGTTTAATTAGATATATATATCATTTCTTTTGAATTTATACACCTTAAATTTAAAATATATACAGTTTTAGATTTTAACTCCACAACTTCACAAGGATCATGGAGAATAAATATAATTTATTTTTACTAACACAATTTTCATTAATATGTCCTAGTTAATACAAATCAATTTTTCTCATCGACAAACTATGATGTTATAAAAAAAGATTTAATTCTTTTTCTTTTTTTGGTAAAAGAAAGATTTAATTCATCTGAAGTTTACTTATGATAAAAATATTTTTATTTTATAACTCGTTATTTTTTATTTTATAACTCGTTATCTCTTGCATGCAAGAACGGAGAAGGTATTTTTCAAGTAGTATGACATAGGGCCTAGTATGACATGATCTATAGACATGTCTGACCCCCAAAAAAAAAAAAGAGTAAAAGAAGACTGCAAAGATTTATATGAACATATATCCTTATGTGACAAGGATTTAACCAAGAAAACTACATTTAGATCTTGTAAAGACTTCTGGCAATGAGAACACTTGAGCTTAATCGTTAAAACAAAATCTTCTTTCCCATCTTCTTAAAATTAACCACTGATGAGTAAATAAAATCACATTTCTTCCTCTCCAGTTTTCGCTCCAATTGTCAAAATAAAAGTACTTACTTCCTTTGTAGTATGTACTTGGGAGACAACCTAATCTGTAGCAACACATCTCCCCACTTGCTCTGGCTATTTTTCTTCTTTTTGTGCTTTTTTTATTTAACGTTTCTCGTAGAGAAGAACCTGTGGTTGCAAGTGTCCTCTCTCGCACATAGAAAGTACATCACTCCAGCTACCGATCACCTGAAGATTTTTTTACACAAGTAAAATGGTTGATAAATGTGGAATAGTGCATCTGCCTCCAAAGTCTAGTGTATTTCAATAATCTTACTTACCTTTACGGTTTTGTCATCGTACATGATCCACCGATCGTGTTCATGACTATATGCAAAGCAATGATAATGCTGTCCATAATAGCAAACCTGGAGTTTCAGATATAGTAAAAGAACTACGTTAGATTATGAAAGACCTGGAGGAAAACACATAGTGAAGATAGTTTTAAATGGAAGAAACACGTACCACAGAAGCTAGCGTATATGTGCTCTTCGGGTCCAGACCACGGTATATGACACTAATGTCTATCTCAGTATTTAAGGCTGCAAGCGTCGCTGCTATGTCTTCTACACTCTCACATGTGTTTTGCCACCCTAAAACTGCCAACCCCAAAAATAATTAGAATATAAAGACACAAATATCAGCGAACTGAAAAGGCTAGCATTCATCAGAATCCTTTATAAAAGTTTTACCTGTAGTAAAAACATGTGGTGCAGTAGTGAGAATATGGTGGATATGGTTAGGTTTCCCACACCCACCAGATTCAGGATCACAGGCTACTTGGTGGTTCATCTCGACAAGATTTAAAAGTTCGTCAAATGAATTCTCAGCGCATGTAACCTACAAAGTGCGGCAAAACCATAGTAAAATTAACTAGTAAATTATTTGAAACTCAAGTCTAATGAACACTCATAAGATACCTTCATGGTCCGTAGGGCACTAGCATTGATGTTATGGAAAAAGGAAGTGTACTTCATATGCCTGGACTCCAGCCCACATTTGAAGCAATTCAATTGCTCAAAAATATTCATTCCAAACAGAGAATGGGCAATGCATGTGCGGTTGGCACAGTCCCATGAACCAGTACAATTGCTCTCAGAAGATTCTGTGTCAGACACGCTAGAGCTTTGAGCGAATGAGCGATGTAGGCAGTCGAAAATCACAGCCAATACTTCTGAAGCATCGTTCATCTGAGCCTGTCCACCATAAGACGCCCAAGCTTAGGGTCCTTGATAAAAATGAAAACTTACTCCGTATTAGGATAAATATTCAAAAGCAGAGATCAATTTCTTTACCTCTTGGAAGAAACTGCTATCTGGATACAAGTTACTCAATGCAATCCTGAGAGATGAAGGAGTCACGGGTTCTTTTCGTTCTTCCCTCGAAGCAGCGCTTAAAGCAGTAAAAATTTCGTACAAGGAGCATACAACACAAGGATCCCCCACGTGATGGTGCTCCAGTGTTGAACTCCGCAAGAACTCATCCCGAAACATCCCCAGATTCCACAGAGACTGATATCAAAACAAAACAGCATTCAGCAACTAGAATTCTTATAAGCTAGATATTAGACATTGGTAGCCAAGAAATCAAACAGTTCATAAAATAAATGTTACCTGTATGATAACATTCAAAAAGCAATTGTATTCCCCAACTTCATTCTGAAGGCCTGTGCCAAATATGCCAACTTCGGTCGAGCTCAGAGACTCCTTTGTGACATCAGAAACCCCATCCATGTTTACTTCCAGAGCTGTCCTCGGACGTGACGTCAAATCTCTACCTCCTTGGTACGCATCTGGGTTGAAACAAAATATTCTGGTGTCAGAGGCTTCATAAAAGGGGTTTTTGTCACCCCCAAAAATCATCATAGAACAAATACGATAAAATGGAAAGAAAAGATAAGGCGGCTTGACATAAAATTAGATACGCATGCAATATAAAACATGGGTCCTCAAATGAAGAGACGTGGTATATACAATAAACCATTCTACATTCAAATGATATTCAGTCAGACGTTAGACTCGAACAAACATTTGCAAACAATATTAAAGGTTGAAAACATACCAAGGCTTTGAAGCACTGCCTTTTTAAGGTCAGCTTGAAACTTTTCTTCTTCATCCTCTTCAGCTTGTAGTTGTCTTAGTGTCTTTGTTCCTGCATCTTCATCACCAAGATAAAGTATCGATTGAAAGATAAATGATGTTAGAAAAGAATTGCTAGAAATTAATCTAGATACTGTCATTCCTAGTTGACAGAAAAGAAAAAACCAAGATACAGTTGTTACAGCAGCACCAGCTTTAACAAATCCAACTCTGAACTATATCTATAAGTACCACGGCACATAGAAGTTTCATTATTCAAGTTCAAGAAATCTATATAGATCCACGTAACAATTATTATTCTATGAAAGCATGAGACAGAGAGATGGACTAAAATGGGAAATTGAAAGACTTACCACCATTGCTGCGTAAAGTTTCAGATTGTCTCTCCTTGTCGGTGTCTGACCTATGAGATTCACTATTTATGCTCTCAGAAGGTCCAACTAACTTGTTAGAAGCTTTCTGCCGTCTACCCCTTCTCCCAGTGCGTTGATCAGATTGGAAAACACCAGCTTGAGTAGCTACGCCATTAGTCACTACTGCAACACATCACACACACAAAAACAGTATAAGTGTCTCAGAAAGGTCATTAAGCATCCATCCAAATTCGAAGATCAGTAGTAACCTTTTTGGGATTTAACATCCTGAACCACTGCAGCATCAGATATCGCACCATGATTTGTTGAGGGAAAAACACCATTTGCATTCACTCGGCTTCCATCCAAGTCATGAGGTAGACCATTTCTTTGAACCAAGTTCTTCTGGTAAAACAAACAAACGCAATAATATTTAGTTTGAAGTGATGAATAGCGACTTCACAACCTTGTCACTCAACGGTTACCTGACTTATGGATTTTTCTTGTTCTTGTAACTCTAAATCATCAACGACGTTATCTCTGCAAACATCATACGCTGTCTCTGCAACATTCATTGGAACTAAAGAGCTGCCTTTCTTTTGTTGTTCTGCAATATGCTTCTCCTTAGCTTCATTCTCAATTTTTCTTTGATACTCTAGAGTTTCTTCAAGCTTTATCTCCTCTAGCGCTAGCTCCATTCGGTGTCTGTATTCCTCTTCATCTTCCTCTTCTTTTAAAGTTTCAGGAACGTCAGCCTCGGAGGGATCACCAGAAAATGCAAGCGGGGGGAGGCTGAAACAAGACACCATCAAGTACTTTAGAAAATATCCACCACTGATATTTTCAGAACGAGAATTTCCAGGTTATCGGCATCTAAACTAATAAAAAAATGTACAGAGCAAATCTTCACCTGTGTTCAGTTGAATCACTGTTGAAGCGATAGTCGTTCCCAATAGAAGCCTATATCAAAACAATAAAGCTAGTATCAAATATAGACAAAAATAGTAAAAACGTAGACAACAAATTTGTTCAAACCTTAAGTTTCTTCATGTCTTTATTCTTTTTCTTATCCTTGGACTTTTCCTGTGTGTGTTTCGAATTATCATTTCTTCCTCGGACCTCCTTCTTAGAATCAAGAGCGAGCTCAACGAGAAATGCTTCGCTTGCAGCATCAGCCTTCTCAGTGGCATATTTCTCTGCCAATTCCTCCAAATGTGCCTGGAGAGACACACAGAGATATCAAGAAAGAATTGCCAATAAGAACATAAAAAGAACACTGCAACCAAAGAGAAGAGAAAGTAAGTAGGTTTACTCAGTCAGATACTTACCCGCATGTAGGACTTCACCAACGGTAACAGTACTATCTGATAATCATTGGAGGAAACAGGTCCAAGCTTTACCTCTGATTGCTGCACCCCAGTAACACTGCGCATCATTTGCGCATCGATTCTGTTAAGCTGTAATAGCACACATACAGAGTATTTGTTTAGGAAAAATGCATTTATTAGTTAGTCTCAGTCGTGCGGCTTAACTATAAGAAAGATTACCTCTGCAGACAACTGCTCCTTTTGTTTCTGGATGGCAATCTCTATAAAACTGTCAGCCTCGGTAAAGGAATCTTTCATCCCCCATACATCAGCTTCCCCAGATTCCAAATCACGTAGCTGAGAATCCGTGCAGGCATATGATTCTTCATATCCAAATTGATTGTGGTCAAGAGAGTCAGCGTCTTTCAAAACATTTGCTATAGCCTCTGACTCAACCCTACTACTGATAAAAAATGCATTGCCACTTTCATTTAGCTCTTCTCTTCGTCTTCTCAGCACAGATCCATAGCTTTCATGGGTAAACTCTGCTGAAGTCTCTCTCTTCCGGGCTTCTTCAAGACAAAGGTCCTCAACAGTCTGCAATGCTCCCTCGTAGCTTAAGTGCTCGCGTTTTTTCTCGCAGAGGTTCTGCAAGTGACAGAATTCCTTCTCAAGAATCTCCATGATCTTCACTCCTTTATTTGTCTTCTCTTCCTTTGTGCGCATCCATGACTCAGTTTGTTCCTCGCTAGAGGGTCCTGAGAAGATCCATGAAAGAAATCCATCCTCCCCAGAACAAGCTATAGTTCCATTGTTCAATGCTGAGCCCATATACTTCTCTTGGATGCACTCAGTGCCAAGCAATTTTTCATCCAGAAGAAGACATAAATCTTCACCATCAAGACGAATCTCCTCTGTAACTTCAAGACCCAGGTCGCCAAAATTATTAGCATCATCTTTGGGGTTACTTTGTTCTGAATATCGACTCAACCCAAAAGTCTGTGACAAGTCTTGCAGGAATTTAAGAATTTTGCTGAGCTGGGTAGCTCCCAAGAAGCGTATGCACGTAGGAGACTGACCCAAACCACGATTTACAAACTGTGAGCCCGACGGTACATTCCGGAGTTCATCCACAGTAAACTGTATCACCTTATCGTAATGGCTGGCAGCTAAATAATTGTGCCTGATAAGTAGCTCAAACGCTACACGGATTTTTACAAGGAGCTTTGTACGTTCAGGATCATCAGATATCGGCCATTCATCAGGAAGATGTTCAAGCTCATTCTCATCACAACGGTTGCAAGCATCTCCAAGGTTTTCTTTCTCTGGTGAAGTATCATTCCATGCATCCTGGAAGTAGCAGTCACCATCTTCCATATAATCTCCAGAGTGAATCTCATCAAACTCAGTATTTTGGATTGTTTGCTTCGCCGCAGCAGGGAAATCCAATGGTTTCCACGGGGAACTAAGAAGCATTTCAATCCTCTCACTGTTGAGACTCTCAGGCAAAACCATTTGCATCTTAGGCAACACGATACCAATATGCTCCTGTACAATATGCTGCACATGAGCCTTACAATCCACGAACTTCTCACTACACTTATAACAAACCCAAAACCTCCAAGTCTTATTCGCCTCACAAAACGACAAAGCTTCACTTATCACATCATTCACATTCCCATCCTTTGAACCACTGAAATGACTCTTCAAATCACTAACCTTAACTCTAAGCAAACCTCTCTTCACCTCTTCACTCATAGACTCCCAATACAACCTAACCCTATCCCTCCTCTCTTGCCCGTTCTTCCTCACATTCCCATGCTTCCTCCTCTCCCCACTTCTCTGCCCCGAACCAACCACCAAATCCGCTCCCTTCTCCTCTACACTATCCCCCACCTTAGACTCAGACTTCTGCTGCAACAGCCTCGCAGCAGCAACCCTAACTTCAATCTCCTTCCTCCTCTCTTCAGGACTCTTATTAGCTTTCTTAATCTCATTAGGCCTCCTACTCTGAACCAAACTACTCTCAATAGGATCCTCAACCACTCTCCTAAACGGGAAAAACCTAAGCTTCTCCTCACCGTTCCCCAAATGCTTCACCCAAGTAGACAACGTGCCGAGATTCGATTTCTGGATCAACGACCTAAGCTCCTCCTGCACGTTCCCAATCCTCGCCTCCGCCGTCAACACCTTCTCCTGAGCCTCCACCTGGAGACTATCCCTCGCCGGATCGATCGGATTCTCGATCGAGAGAGCTCGGTGACACTCCTGAACCACCTCCTCGTACTCCCTCGCCTCGTTCGCCGCCTCGTACAACAGATTCGCGTAGAAATGCGCGAACTCGATCGAGTTCGGGGACAGCTCAACGGCTTTTTTAGCGGATTCGATCGCGCTGCGGAGGTATTTCTGTTTGGTGGAGGGATCTTCGTAGACCGAGGCGACTTTGACGCAGATTGTGCCTTGGACGCGGTGGATTAGGGCGGAGTGGCTGTGGCGTGTGGAAGATTCTTTCATGAGACGAATCGCTTTTGTGTAGCTTCCGCGGCGGAAGGAGGTTAGCGCCTTGTCGCATTCGAGTTTGATGGTGGATGAATCGGATACGGTGTCGTTTAAGGTGGGGGGAGGAGGAGGTGAAGCGGGGGTTTTTTTCTTCTGGACCATTTTTTTTATCGATTCAGTTTAAACCTAATTGAATTCGCATGGAGGAGGATACTAACAAAAAGATGATCAAATCAGAAGATAAAGTTGGAGTGAATGTAACGGCGTCGTTTTCAGGAGATTTAAGGGGGAGGATGGAGGGAGGGGGAGGGTTGGTGAGGTAGAAGAAGAGATGGAGAGTAGAAGATGACTTGTTCTCTCTCTGTTATGTGGAAAGGGGAATTTAGAGAGATTTACATTGGGATCACAGACCGGTTCGGTTTATGGATGTCAATGGTTTAATATGAGGTGGTAGGTGCGGTTGAACCGGCACGTGGGTTTTATTACAAAGATACTATGATTTTGTGTGCGGGGTGTGTAAAACGCCGCAGTGTGTTTTAGTGTGAATTATTTTTTTTTACAAAGTGGTCCCCAATGGTAAAGTAGTTATCTGTTTGTCTATCCAATCAGAGGCGGAACTAGAAAAAAAAAAATTATAGAGAACATAATTAAAACTGTTCATAGAATTAAGGATAGATTTGCTAAAAACAGAGGGTTATTAAAAATTAATCAATGTTTTACATAGAATTTTCAAAATGAGTTGGGGTCAGATGCCTACCTCTTACTCCATGTAGCTCCACCACTGTATCCAACCCGAGATTGAATCATCATAAAGTCAATTTGTAACTATTTAATATTGAAATATTATATATGTTTACAATTTAGAAGAGTTTAAAAGTAATGACACGTTTTCGATATTCAGTACACATTTCAGTTTAATAGGATACCCGATTAGGATCTAAAACCGAACCGGAACGTTCTGATCCAGTTCATTTCAGGTCGGTTTCGGTTTTTATGCCTAGGGGGCTACTCTTAACTAGTTACTAACCTCACTACCTTCCTACTGCGTGTCTGATGCAGAGTCATTTTCGTTCTGTTTTCCAAATGATAATATCCATGACTCTGCTTAGATCTCTACTCTAAGCTTACCACTTTACCAGACCTAAGTTATCTAGATAGCACCTGAGCAGTAACAATGGGGCACATTTGAATTTTATTAGAAAGATAAATAGATAACAAAGCATTCTCCAAATATTCGGAGTACAATCACATAAAAGGTCTCCAACCAAATCAAATAAATAAAAACTAGAAAAAAAAGTCTAATCCCAAACAAGAGAAGTAAAAAAAGACAGAAGCAAAGCTTATGTGTGTTCTTCGGTTTTCAAATCCAAGCGCCACCTCATAAGAATCAGAATCCATCCTACCATTCACAATCTATCCTCTCCTCTACTTTTTCCTATCTACATTCATCATCACACCATCATCAAGTTCTTCATGAGACCCCACCAAGAACTCTCTTCAACTCGGATTTCTGCTCTCCCGTCAGCTTCGACGGATATCTCACGTTAAGCTTCAACCTCAAGTTACCTTTCTTCCCTGGTTCTTTAGAGACTGGCATCCCTTCGTTCGGAACAACAACCTCATGATCCGGGTTGATGACATCGTTTAGCGGAATCACAAGAGTCCTCCCATCAAGAGTGACCAGATCAAGGGTCTTCCCCGTTAGTGCTTCAAGTAATGTGATCTCCTGATTGACCAAAAGGTCGTTTCCGTCTCTCTTGTAAACAGAATGTGGCTTCTCTTCAACGATGAAGGTGATATCCGCTGGTATGATTCCAGGCTCTTCATTGCCTTTCTTAGGGAATGTGAGCTTTGTCCCTTTCTTCCACCCGGGTTTTATCTCTATGGGTAATATCTCATCAACAACCCTCATTTTACTGCCAAAAAAAAAAAAACAACAACAGTCATAACAAGTACTAAGCCCCTACCGAATAATGTTAACATGCATAAACTCGGCCGTCCTGGACCAAACCTGATGAAACATTCGCCTATGGCTTCTAAAATCTTCGATAAAAATTACGTTGACATAAACCTCCAAATTTATAGAAAAAAAAAACCCTAAATCTTAAAAAAAAATTACAGTCCAATCAATGGTTTAAACTCACGGTAATACCTAAATCAATAAAACAAGATGAGAATGAAGCATACCCAAAAGCATCGTATATATTTCTTGATAACCGCATCTTCTTCTTCACACCTTTGTAAAGATCCTCCAAACTACAAGGCAAAGGCTTCTCCACAGCTGGATCTTTCCTCAGCTCACTGCTATGCCCACCGGGATTGAAATGACCGTTCCTAAACGTTCTATGTCCTCTTCCTCCACCTTCAGGTCCAAAGATCTCGGCGTAGATATCATCAGCGTCCCTAGGGTTGAAACGAAACGACGACGCGTTAGGCGGGTGCTGCCTATGCTGGTGGTGGTAAAAATGCGGCGGTCTCGCGGAGGAAGAAGAAGCCTCGTTGGAGTCGGGGATTATGCCGGATTTGAGGCCTTCCTCGCCGTAAAGATCGTAGATCTGACGCTTCTGAGGGTCGGAGAGGACGTCGTAGGCCTCGGAGATGCGTTTGAATTTGGCCTCGGCTTCGTCTCGACGCGCGGAAGGGTTCTTGTCGGGGTGCCAGATCATGGCGAGACGCTTGTAGGCTTTCTTGAGATCGTCCTCCGTTGCATTGTGGTTCACCTTTAGTATGTTGTAGTAATCCACTCCCATCTTGAAAAAAATATTACGAAGCGTTCACGATGGTTGGGCCGTTGCCGGAGAAAGGAGGAAAACGGAATGGGAGACAGATGCGTTGAGGCTAGGGCAGAGGGAGGTGAGTTTCGACGTTTACGTTTTTATATTTAAAAGCATTTTTACTTGTCAACCATTTATAAAATAATATTTTTGAAACATCATAACTGTAATTGAAATTCAAACATAAAAATTCTCTTGGTCAAATTATATCTGAATTTTACATATTAAACATTTTATTTTTTATATTTCTAATTTTTTTTTTACTAACCGAATATTTTAACCCCTACCGAAATAGTCCAGACTAGAGATCAAAGGGAGCAAGAAACCAAGATCTAGCAGAAACGATACTCCGCCAACCATAAGAAGGCGAGTACGAACGTACCGGTTCCAAGGATGATGTATTCCTGAAATACCGACCTTTAAGGACTCTAGAAAATAGAGTATCTGGTTTTTCTATCAACCTCCAGAATTGTTTTCCTAACATAGCCGTATTAAAGTCGAGAAAATCTTTAAATCCTAGACCTCCATTTTCCTTATCGGTACACAATTTATCCCACGATAACCAGTGCATGCCTCTTGTATTTCCTTCCGGACTCCATCAAAATTGGGAGACCGTACTTGTCAACTTAGAAATAACCTTTTTTGGGATTCTGTAACAAGACATAACGTGATTTGGCATTCCTGTTAACACTGACTTAATCACAACTTCCTTTCCACCTTTAGAAAAAAACTTAAAAGTCCAGCCATTAACTCGGTTACTCATACGCTCCTGGATAAAACTAAACACTTGAGTTTTTGGACCTCCCAAATTTTCTGGCAAACCCAGGTAGGACCCCATCCCTCCAATATTCTGGATCCCTAAAATATGTCTTAACTCCTGTTGTAAATCCTCAGCTATCTTGAATCAAAACTGGATGGAGGACTTCTGGAAATTTATCATCTGACCAGAAACATCGTCATACTCCTCAAGAATCCTGAGAATAGTATAACACTCCTCTTTTTGTGTTTTGCAGAAAAAAGACTATTATCGGCAAAAAGCAAGTGCGAAATTGATGGGCACGCTCTAGCCACCTTAATCTCTGTCAATTGTTTATTCCTCTCAGCCTTTTTAATATTAGCAACAAGAGCCTCTATGCACAAAATAAATAAGTAAGGCGAGAGAGGGTCGCCTTGGCGTAATCCTCGCCTTTGAATATTGTTAAATGGGCATAATTTGGTATGTACTATCTTATTTTGATTTTTATTCCTGGAAAACTACATAGATATATTATACTGCACAATGTTATTCTATCCCACTATAACTAGGATTTATATATGAACTAAAGTTAAAGCACCAAAGTCAAGTAATACATAGTAATTTTTTTTTTAATAAAAATCAAATAGTAGTAAACATGGAGTTTTATTTTGAGACAATTTAAAATAAATTATGCTACTTGTTTAGACAAGAAAATGTTGTAAAAAAAAATATAATACGTTAGTAGGACAAGTCATTATCATAAGTTCTATAGGATTGTTTATTAATAATTACAAATGTAAGATTAAAGAAATCTATATTATTATTAAGTGGTTAATATCGTTTATACCCCTAATGAATAAAATATATAAATTAGACATAAAATAAAAACGAATTTAATATTTATTTGACTAGATAAGTGGTTTAAATTAATAATAATGATGAGAATTATCCATAATCTAAATATATATTTAAAAAGGAAAAAATATAATTCCTATATATATTGCGTTGTTATCCGGAAAATATATTTTGATAAAAAAAAAATTCAAAAACAGAAAACACATAAATAAATATTCATAAAGTAATTTTAATTGTATATAATTGAAAAGAGATATTGAAAAATTCATAATACATAATTATTTTTAAATTATAAGAATATAACAATATAATATAATGATATCTATTTGTGGAGTTATTTTTCGCCTCTGAATCACACGTTAGATAAATTTATTTTTATATTTTATATAGTTAAACTTAAAATATGAATTAATAATAATAAAATAAAAGATCATTCAAAAATAAAAAAATACGTGTTTGAGAAAAATAAATTCATATATATTATCCAATTATCTAAACTAGTATTATTCTTGTTGTAAGATCAATTTTTGAATGTATATTTATCGATTTAATTTTTAAATTGAAAGATGTATTTTTATATTTTTATAAATTAAGAAAAAATAAAATAGACTTTAGATTTTTAAATTGACTTAAAGATAATTAAGCCCGCATATGCGGGCAAAACACCTAGTTAATTATAATAAAAAAAATAATCATAATACTATGCAGTATCTCTGTTGTAATGCTGAGTAAGAAACAAGTAAATTTTGGAAGAAAATTAATACCCAAATATATTTAAATATATTTTTGTTAAATCAAATTGGATTAACTACATTGACCAAATTGGCAAATCTCTAATGAAACCATTCAACAAGCTTACACCATCTGAGACAGAGATAGCAGCGCTGATCTCTGTCACTTCATGAAGTTTTCTCTATTAGTCTTATAAATTACATATGTTCCGAATCCTTGAATGGTTTCTTCTGCTATGTTGTGTTGAAAGACGAAAGAGAATAGTCATACACTGTTTGATATTTATCAACATGAATCTTCTTCTATAATACATGTTTAGAAAGATGAAGTACATTCATCTCATCTATGAGGTACAACAACATAGAGACAAACTAATTTAAGTCTCAAGATCAGACAAAGTTCTTGTCTTGTTGTTGATGCGGCTTGATCTCTCCTACATTGTTCCCACTCACAGAATTTGCTTCATCGTTAATAATGACTTTGTATCTATAAAATTTAGCCATTAACAAGAAGTAACACATGTTAACAAACATGACTCCTGTGAGCATGAAATAAAAGTAATCCAGCCTCCCTTTGTTCAGATCCTCAGCTAACCAATTCCCCTTTGGTGAATGCTCAGTTGTTTTATGAATAGCCGAGATCAAGAAGCTAGCGAGGTAGCTCGAAACACCTGCACCAACATAGAAGATAGAACCCGCAAAGCTCTTCATGTTTTCAGGAAACTGCTTGTAGTAAAACTCCATTTGTCCAATAGCTGCAAAAGCTTCTCCTATCCCTGCAAGCACCAGCTGCGGAACCAACCACATTGCTGACATTGATGAGATTTCTCCAGCTCGAGGCTCGATCCCGAGAGTTGGTTTTGTAAGTGCAATGGTTCTTCTCCGTGCCTCTACGAACCCAGAGACAAACAAACTCAAAAACGCAAAGAAAATGCCTGCTCCGATTCTTTGTAAGAGTGTTATACCATTGTCTAGCCCCGTCACTCTTCTGAGCGACGGGACAAGGACACGGTCGTAGAATACGATGAAAACCGTCATACCCGACATCAAGAACACTACATAGGTGCCAGCGGGGATCTTGAAGCCACGAGAACCTAATCTACGGTCGCTCTGGAGCGCTTGGAAGACAGGATAAGTCATTTGCAAAGTTATTGCAAGGTAGTAAACCGCACAAGCAAACCAAATTGGAATCACTCTCACAATGCATTTCACTTCTTCCACCTGCTGCATCGTACATAGATTCCATGGATCCAAAGCCGTTCCATCGGGTTTTAACTTGTCCTCAGGGGTCATCACCGCTGCTTTGTCTAGAAATCTGGTAACATAAAACATGTTTCCATCAAACACGAAAGGTAGTAACATAAAGCAATAGACCAGGCCTAGTCAAGGGGCTACCAGAGGCTTGAGTAGATTCTTGAGTTTACCTAAACTGGTCGGAGTATTTGAGAGTAGAATTAGCATAGTCACGAGGAATGTGATTGTAAAGATCAAAGCAAGGCTGCTTAACTGGCTTCAACCCTCGTTTCTTGAACGCTGCTGCCACAACACGAGCAATACCAGCCAAGGGACTACCAGAAGCTTTCACTTTTACATAGAGATTACGGCCAGCAAAGTAAATGACACAGGCCAAGAACATTAGAACCACAGGGATACTCAAACCAATGGCCCAGCTGACATTTGACTGAATATACACAACTAACGTGAGCGAGATGATCTGCGCAAACGTGAATGTGAAGAAATACCAGTTAAAGAAACTGTCGATTCCTTTCTTCCCAGACTCTGACTTAGGGTTGAACTGATCACAACCAAAAGCCAAGTTACACGGCCTGATCCCACCAGCACCAACCACAAGAAGGAATAAACCAAACATTAGAAACAAAATCTGGCCACCATTTGGCTCTTGGCATGAACTTTTTGTTCCACAAGGAGTTGGATGCAATCCTGGAACTGCAGCGGTTAGTAGTATCACAAACGATCCCTAACAAAAAGAAGAAAACTGGTTAGCATTTAAAATCTATTTAAGAGTGTTTAGCGAAAACAAAAAAAAACAATTAGTACCAGAAAACAACCAATGACAGCAACACTGAGAGTCTTGTAACGACCAAAGTAAGTGTCGCAGAGAAAAGCAGCGAGGAAAGTGCCAAAGTTGATAGTGCCACTAAAGGCATTGATAATAGTTGCAGCTGTGTATTTCTTAAGGTTGAATACTTGAGTTAAGTATATAAGAAGGTTTGATAATGTCCCAATGATCCCAATCTTCTCAAATGTCTCATTACCTAATCAAAAATATACAATTTTTTTTTCCGTTAATGATTTAGTCAAACCAAACATGGGTTTCTCATAAAGTAACAAACTTTGAAACCAAGATTTGACTTCTTTTCAATGTCCATTGACTTTTTTCGTAACATTTCTCTCTCTTTTTCTTTTGTTCAACATAACATTTCTCTTTTTTTTTTTTTTTTGGTGGTCGCCCATCTAGACTAGAACATAAACATTTCTCTCTAGATCTGATAGATTATCTAGAATACTGACAAAGTCAAGCCACAGTGAAGAAGATAAAAATAAACAAAAATTTATAAAGACAGAGTTTAAAAATAACGGTCTGAAGAGAGAAAACACAAAGAGTTATTACCAATGATATATGGCATTACTTTCCAGCCTCTGTAAATGAGCTTTTCTTGCTTGTCGTCAGATGAATCAGAATCACTGTCATCAACGGCAGAGTAGGGTTTGTGATCCTCCGTTGTCTCAACCTCAAAGGGTTTCCTCTCCATTGTCTCAATCTGTGTGTAATTATCTCTTCTCTCCCTATGGCTGAGGATGACTCTACTCTTCATCTTAAGCTCCCTCCGCGTCTTATACAAAAAAAGGATCCAGAGAGTGGAATTGTCAGAATCTGGGAAAATTTAAAGCATAATGTCGAATTTGGTTGAGTAAGATAGACAGATCTGTGTGATTGATTTCTCAACTATTTTTTTTTTAAAAAGGCAAACTTTTTTTTTTTAATTTAATTGATGAGCTCTTTATTAATTTAACTTAGTTGTAATTGATGCTAAAATCTAAGAGAGAATTGTCTGGGATCCTACTGTGGTAAATGAAGGCCCATTTTTACATTAGGTGGACTTTTTTTAGTTTTGGATTTCATCCTCTAATCAAGTCTAAGTAACAGAAAAAAAAATTATCCAATCAAATATTTGTCTGATTTATACTATTATTTAAGAATTATATTTGCTTAGTTGTCATGTTCTCCATGAGTTTAGGTAATTTTGTTTATTTATCATATTTTTAATATTTATATATAATTTATTTATAAACAAAACAAAATTATATGAATATATCATATTTTTAGAAAATATGATAATTCTTATGAATTATGTTATTATCTTGAAATATATTTTTATATATAAAACTTAAATTTTAATTTTTATCATATGTTTAATATTTATATATAATTTATTTATAAACCATTATTTAATAAGTAAATCTGCTTAGTTGTCATGTTCTCCATAAATTTATGTAATTTTGTTTATTTATCATATTTTAATATTTATATATAATTTATTTATAAATAAAACAAATTTATAAGAATGTATCATATTTTTAGAAAATAAGATAACACTTGTGAATTATGTTGTTATCTTGAAATATATTTTTACATATAAAACTTAAATTTTAATTTTTATCATATTTTAATATTATATATAATTTATTTATAAATAAAAAGAATTTATATGAATATAACATATTTTTAGAAAATAAGATAATTCTTGTGAAAAATATTTTTATCTTGAAATATATTTTATATATAAAACTTAAATTTTAAGTTAAAATATAAAAAAAATATTTATTATATAACTAAAACAAATTTATATTAATAATTTTATATTTTTCTAAAATAAGATAATTCTTATGTATTATGTTGTTATGTTAAAAATATATTTTGGAAAAATAAGTATTTTATATTTATTATTTATTTTATATTTTCTGCATATTATGAAATAATAAAATAATAATAAATATATATATTAAATAACTAAGAAACCAGTTACTGTTATGTAATAAATTGGTGTGTGCGTATAAATCTAACGATCACTCTTCTTTAATTGCAATTAGGATAAATAAATCACAATAATCAATCTTATCTAACATATATGATATATAATTAAATTTAAATTATATTAATATAGATATATAGAACACTTTTAATATGGATTTTTATTAAATGAGGTTTCCACTCATATAATTTCATGATTATTTGCATATTTGTGTAACAAAAATTTACACCAACGAATTTTTTTAATGTGAGATATTTAGTAGTTTCAATAATTTATAATCATGTAAAAAAAACAAGGACATATTTTAAAATTAAAATATTAACTTTTCAATATATGTTCAATGCAAATATCAAAATATAAGTATGTATTTTCATACGATTGTATAGTTTAATTTAAACGATATGAAAATATATATATATATATTAACATAAAACCTATTAAAATAAGATTAGTTCTTAATGTTGTCTTATAATAATTGTATTTTAATATTGAAAAAAAATTAAACCTTGATCATAAAAGCTTATGTGAGGCTTTTAACAATATTAGTAATTTATACTCGTTTTTAAAAAAAATTGAAATAAAACATACACAAAAAATCTAATTGTTTATTATATGATTAATGTAATTGTGTAATTTATTTTAATAATAAAGAAAAAAGGATAAAAGTATACAGATTGTTATCAAATCTTTATTGTTTAAAATCATTACTTGCCATATATATTTTAATCGCATTAGGTAATTCCGTAGGTTTTATTTAAGAAAATCATACGGAAGAATAAATATTTGATATATGCGACCAACTATAGCCTGTGAAATATTATATTGCTATTGAATAAAAATTTTAAACTATAGCTTATATAAGATGCTCTATAATTCTTCTAAACTGAATTAGAAAGTATAGAGAGCTATCACGTAGAATGAAGTTCTTTTTTAATTAATACAAATTTAAGGTTACATCGTTTTAAATGTTTCTCAATTAATATATAGGGGATGATAGTGTTTTTATGTATTGTAAACTCTTTGTTATTGAAAAAGAGTTTTTTCGAGGAATATAATTTGATTAAATATTACTATATCTTAGAAAGGTAAATTTACAGTTTTTTTTTTAATATTAAAACCTTATAAAGATCTAAAGAATTTTGTAAATATTCTTAAATAATTATTATACATTACAATTACTTTAAATTTGACTTATATACACAATATAAATTATAAGATTTTAGTTAAATTGTATTATTAAATATTAAATTAAAAAATAAATATAGTTAAATGCCTCAAGTTATTAACTAATTTTACATTAGGAATAAATTAAATTATATAGACACAAAATAGAAAAATTTCCAAGATTTTAAATATATTTTAATATTTTTAAAAATATAAAGTAAACAACACTAAATCTAGGATAAAAGTATATATATATTAAAAATACAGAAATGTTCATTTATTTTATAAAGAATATTAAAATTAAGAAATAGTTATTTTATTTATAATATACTAGAATGTGTTGCATTAAAATTAGAATTATAGACTTGTTTACAAATTGTCTCATCAATTCTACAATATACTGTAGTAATCAAAGCGGAAATATGTTAATCTAGAGAAATAAACTATAGTTATTCATCCACGATTTAACCGATTGACAAATAAACATAATAATTTATTTATATAAAATTTTAATTTTTTTGTAGTGGATGTAGCTATTGATAATTTGATGAGAGATAGATGAGAATAATTATATTTCATAAGAATAATAGTTATGACTACATACATATATGTATACTAATGATGTTTAATTTCTAATCTAGATAGAGACAAATATACGTAAATATCTTATACAATAACTATGCAATATTTGATAATAATATCTATGATATTCTATATCCTTCAATAGTAGCAATAAGTGTTCGATCATGCTATTTTTATAAGAGCACAGTATAATGTCCATGGTGGATATTTTTGAAAATGTCGACTGTGTGAATAGACAGCATAATCTTTGGGCTTAGCATCCAATTTTTATCAAAAAAATGGATTGGATTTTTGAAGATCAAAGTTAGCTTGCTCATCTTAATACCTTGGTCTTGATTGATTGATATGGGTTTGAAGGTACAGATCCAAAGACTTGGCCTTCCCTGATTTACCCAAATCAGTACGAACCGTATCATGGATTAAATTCTTCTTTCGGTCTACAAAAGTGATTAATTTGTAATCAATAAGACAAAAGCAATAATTAATTGACCTTTTGAGCCGGCAATCGAAGATTCGTTTCTCTTTGAGGGAGGACAAAAAAAGTTTAGGTTTATGTCAAAAACCTGTTTATATTATCAGATAATTATTTTATTTTGATTGGTGTTCACGATTTGAAACATGTGACATGTGTATGCATGTGAAGGCGGCAACTTACATAATATAACAGAGGCAGAAGTACAAATCTCTGGTTATTACATATTAAACGAAATTAAGATAACGAGGACTAAGACTAATTTAATTATTAGATGAAGGCACCATTGTCATCCAATGACCTTTCGTCTGATCAAAGAGGCTCACATTTGAACCCCGTCCACCTCTTATATGGCCACTGCTTTTTTGGCATATCCACTTGCATCTATCATTTTAAAATAGAAAGCCATTCCTCCATTAACTACTACTATAATACATGTAGGTTCTTGTCTTTATTCAATTATAAAATCATTATAAATAATATCAAGTGAACAAAAAGTTTGGTCGAGAAGGAAATGGAAAAAAATCCCGTCAGCATTTTAGTGATTTTTGACGTCAGTGGCGAGATTGGTAGCGTTATTTGCATGTCGAGAGAGGTTAAAGAACATAAATACAATTAGTTGGTATTTTTTTTTAAGAAAAAAGAAATATTCCAACATCTTATACATACTGTTTTCCTAAGACTGATCAGATCCAACTAATTTCCAACTAGTATTACTTCAAACTGATCGTTGATTTTGATAAATAATAGTAAATAAGTATCTGATACAAATTTCATTTAACTAAAAATCGTTGATCAAAATCTAAAACTGCACTATATTAATGCTATATATTTTATTAGTGACATTCTAAATTTGGTTGCATGCCTTTTACTATTAAAAAAAAAACTGTACCGGTGCCTTTTACTATTTGTTTGACATCTACCTGCATAATTTATTTCAACTTGTGAACTCATATATGAACATATATAGACATATATATAGTATTTTTATTAGCAAGACATTTATAGTTTACACAAATCTGAGTGTTTGTACAAATCATTTCCACTAGTGTCTTCCTTCTCTCATCCTTTTGGTATAATTAGAAAGAGGGGACATATATATATTTCTGAGTTTTCTTTGAGATATTTATATCAAAAGCCTCCCAACAACCATGGCTTTGCTTCCGGTGAAGCCTCTATCTTCCCACCGCTTTCAGGTTCTCCGCCGTTACCCCATTACTTCAGCTCTGTCAACAGCTCCGTCAATGGTTTCGGCCGGTTTCAAAACGCATCATTTCGTAGGACTCCCTTCGTATGAGCTATGTATCAATAAATCTGTAAGGCATATGAGGTCGTGGAGCAATCGTCGCCGAGTAAGCAAAAGCGTCGGCGTGTCTATGCCGGTGGCTTCGGCTGAGGATTCACCGACGGTTTCTTGGGATTCTTGGAAGCCCGACAAGAACACGGTGGCTCCGTCACTGAGTGACGTCATTTGGCCGGCAGCAGGTTAGTTTTATATATTAAAAAAATGCTTACAGACGAAATGATAAAATTATTAGACAGCAATTTTCTTTTGTCCGAAGACAAGGGAAGAGAGAGAGACAAAGAGATCGTGTCTCTTCCAACGACCAAATAGCTATTGATAATAACTGTTTGAGGTTGACCATTTCCTGAATTTAGTATGAGATAAAAATCATGATCATGAATAGTTTTCTTAATTAATTCGTTTAATTTTTACTCTTAGCAACAAGATTCTTTGTGAATTCTTAAAGTATACGTATTCGAAAATAGTCATCTTCTATGCAAATCCTGGAACAGAGGCATAAATTAGTTGGTTCATATAATGTTATATAAACGTGTCAAATGAAGGGAAACATCTATAGTATAATCTGATCAATGTCATGCCCTTATAATTTTAATTTTCGAACATGCAAAGAAAAGTATTATTTGATTAGTATAGCCTTCATGTGTAACCTTGCCTCTATGACTGCTTTGATGAAATCAAATATATATGTATCATGTATGTATGTATTCAGAAGGTTTTAAATGTTTTCTTGTAGAAAAAATATTTAAAATGTTTTGTATTAATATTTTCTGGTACGAGAAAAGGAGGGTTTGCAGCTATGGCGATAATGGGAAGGATAGATCAAATGCTAAACCCTAAAGGGATCTCTATGTCGGTTGCACCACTTGGTGCTGTCTCTGCCATTCTCTTCACCACTCCTTCTGCACCTGCTGCTAGGGTAATTTCCTAAACGGTTGCATTTCTTGCGAGTGAAACGCTATTTGCGAAGAGCAACCTAAAATGCTAGTTACTATTGATCAAAACGGTGATGGGTGGTGCATGTGTCTTCATTTCAGAAATATAATATGTTCATGGCTCAAATCGGATGTGCAGCCATTGGAGTGTTGGCCTTCTCCATATTTGGGCCGGGTTGGTTCTCCCGCAGCACCGCCCTAGCTGCTTCCATTGCATTTATGGTCATTGCTCGTGCTAATCACCCTCCTGGTAATTGAATTATACCTCTTTTTAAGTATTTTTATTTTACTTTTGAAAGTGTGTACAATTTTCGTTACTTAAAGGTCGAACTTATTTAATCATCATAGCAAAAAAATATCTTAATTTTCTATTGAGAGGGTCGGAAATATAATTAATATAGTGAAGGGGAAATATATATTCCCACGCCTAACATAATAGTTTAATGTGTCATAATGGAAAGGAAAATTAATCTATAAAGTGAAATTATACCTCAACTGATATCATATTTCATGTAAATTGAGTGGCTATAGTAGATTTTTAGTTATACAATTAGTTTTATGGATTTAGGAAACACTTCCATCAATAAATTCCAATTATCAACTTGTTTTCAACCACTTGTAGAAACATTTGTTCCGGTGTCTGGTTTTATTTTCAATATCAAATTCCTCGTTATATAAAAAGTCATGAATATTGCGTTAGGGTTCTATACGAAGAAGATATATAAAAAAACAAGAAGATATTAAAGGTACAAGTACGGCCTCGTGAATAAAGCAGCTCAGTTCTATAAATTCTATTTTCGTGTATATATAATAAGATTATCTATCATTGTATTTGTACGTTTCGTCACGAAAATAATTAAACTAATCATTTCGTATATATATATGATATATCTGAAAACAGCGGCGAGTTTACCACTAATGTTCATAGACGGAGCAAAGTTACAAAAGTTGAACTTTTGGTACGTATTATTCCCAGGTGCAGCCGCTTGTATCCTCCTCTGCTTCCTCGTAAGCCTTCCCTAAGTCACCTTTTAAATTTTGTCTCCAATATATATTATTTTCAGCTTACCTTCTCATCAGTTTTTATTAAATGATGATGTAACTGTTTTCATGGTTTATAATATTGGATTGGGTTATGCTTTAAATTTTGCAGCAAGAGATCGTATGTTACTTGAAGGAAAACATGAAATTTTGACGAATGGAAAAGAGACAAGTGTTTATATGTATGTATACACACATTGGTGGAGTTCAGGTGATTTTTTTATTTATGTCTGACGTTTATATATCGTAGATGGTCGACGTAAACGTACCCCTTATATAAATGAATATATATACAAATGTTATCTATTTTTTTCCTTTTTTGGTTTTTTTGCGTTGAGATTACTTATTTTAGTGAAACAATTTTGCATAGTGTGGCCCTTTTTTCAAAAAAAAAAAATTTTGCATAGTGTGTATTCAAAAGAAGAAATTCACGGTGCAGAGTGCATAGTGTAAACTTCAATCTTCATATGTTCAAAAGCAGAAATTGACGGTGCACTAGTTTAACTGTACAGTTACTCGCAGAACTTTTCCATTCACTACGGTTGCAATCATAATAAGACATCGCTGATACGGTTGCAGACACTCCATATGAATAAAATAGTCGTTTTCGTTCAAAGCTACCCATTAGCCACCGCAACTTACGAAGTATGTAAATCGTTTGGTCTTAGATTAGCTTGCATGATCACTGAAAGCTATTTTTTTATTTCTGAGGTCACTTGCTCTTGATTTCATTATTTTGTAGCTCTATTTTTATTTCTCCCGAGAAAATATAACTATAGAAGAAGCAACCGAAAATAGCATTTAGGGTTAAGCTGCAAAATAATCATGAGATAGGAGTTAAATATGCAAAATGACATCAGGAATTAGGTTTAGTAAATAATCATACTGGAGTAGGTGAGTACACAAAATACTTGAGATTATAATAAAAGGGCTACAACTAGGTTACCATAAGGGTACAAAACATATGCTAATTTATTCATTAACCAAACACAATATTAATTAAATATCCATAAGCCATGCACGATGTGCTCAAAAATAAATAAATCCATAAGCCATGATATTTTATTTATCTAGAAGTGTTATAAAATGCTATACCATTTGTTGGCTAAAAATATGTAGACCATTTATACTAAGTTATAGTTTCAGAAAAGTTGCTCTTCTTATGAAAAGGAATTCAGGAAAATAGATGTTTAAATGAGTAATGAATTATGAATGCAATTATAAACTATACAATTTTGAGGTATAATACAATTATAGATTATACTATTATAAAATATGAAATTAATTAAACGGTTCACATGATTTTGATAAATATAATAGAAACTGAACCCATAACTATTAGTAAAGGGATATGAACATTCTCTACCGTTAAAAGAGTGTCTGGACATGAACAATCCTTCATTCTTACCAAATGTAAAACCCACAAGATTGTATTTTTTTTCTTTCTGTTCTTTCAACTCCAAATTATTTACATTATTATAAAGGCGAAAACTTGGGTGGGAAGACTCGAAATGTTCGTTTTTCCCTTTTCTTCAATCAAGTCAAGAGTTAGTAATGAGAGGAATAACCATAGATTCACACTTTCTTTTCTCATCTCCGAGGTGGAGATCGACCAGCCAAGACAGGAGGAACCCCACCGTTCTCTGCAGTCTCCAAAGCGGTGTCTGTATGAACTTGGTGAATTGGAGGCTGAAGTCTCAAGAAGTAGCTCTCGCTTTGTGGTTGGCTTCTTATGTACCGAGCTTCTGTTGTCTCCGTGTTCCCTTGTGAGGAGGGCTGTTGTGTTGATGAGCTCTGGAGGTTGGATAATGCACTGAGATCAAGGTCAGGAAAAACAGAGCACCGGCACCGAGGACATTTCACGTTTAAACGCAGCCACTGGTCTATGCACTCCACATGGAAGTTATGGGCGCAAGGTAAACCTCTAACCTGTAAAAATTCAGACAAAACTATTGCATAAGAAGTTGGTTTATTCCCTCACAAATGTTAGAAAAAGAGATGTTTAGTACCTCATGTCCTATATGGAACTCCTCTAAGCAGATTAAGCATTCACCGCAATCATCTGGGACAGCTTTTAACCTGAACTTTGGAAGTTCTTGAATCAGTGCCTCCACAGCTTCAGTCTGTTTATCAAAGTATCAAGCATTTTAGATGTTTGGAATCTTTGAGACAGAGAGCAAAAGGACAAAGACTTGCCTGAGCAGGAGTCAAGTAAAGTCCAGGATGGTATGCAGCAGCAGCATCTTGACTTATGCCTCTCATCTCTTGCCCTGCGGCTTCAAATGCCCAGTCAGGGACCCTTATCATGTCAACTACAATCTGCCAACAAGACAACATACATTCAAAAACAAGTGTCTGCAATTCCGCAAATGATCTTCTGGTAAAAGAAGTGAAGATGAATAACTGGATCCTGAAACTTACCCCAAACTCTGAACTCGGGATTCCCTGCTGAGCACGTAATACGTGCACCTGTCTTCGCGCCAACCACTGTCAAGTAAACTCACATAAGTACACACTCATATAACTGGGGGTGTGTCCTCTTAAGAGAAACAAAAAGCTTTGATGAGAGAGTCTTACCTTTCCAATACAGATGCAAGCAATGCAGAGGAGGCCAGAGTAACTGAAAATCAGCCAAATGAGGAAACCCCATTTTTGGCCTTCTTCAGGTAACTAACCAGAAAAGAAAATACACAATAGCTCAGTAACAGGATTTTTGCAACAAAGAATAATCATATGAGATGATCATAAAAGACTGCTTACACAGCTTCTTGCCCTTTTAAACCATATTGTACCGATTACAGTCCAAGCCCAAAGAAATGGATACAGCAGCAGAGATAGGATAGAGAGTACCACCACTCTCCCACAAAATCCAATGTTCCTCTGTTGACTTCCAAAATCCCTAATAGATATTCATACCAGAAAATGATGTGATACAAATTGACACAGACATTCATATATCCTTACCACCCAAAAAGAGACTCAGAGATCAAGCTTGCAGTTTCTAAAGATAACCGAAAATAATGTAAGAGTCTATCAACTCAACTGAAACTGCAATGAACATTGATGTTTTCCATTTACCATACTTTTTTTCCCTCAAAATCTAAACCTTTCAAATGAACAACATGCTTATATATGATAGGTACAAACATATTAAACTAAACAGTTCTTTTTCAATATAAAACTCAAAAAACCATGAAGATTCTACATATCCAAAACCTTAAGATACTCTAGGAGTAGGAGGTTTAGATTGAACTTACAAGCCAAGTCCAGCAGCCAGACCATTGTCAACAAACATTAAAACGCGGAAGATAAACACCGTTGTGTAATCAACCTGAAAAATTTAGAGAAGAACAAACCAAATGAAAAAAAGTAACAAAATTTAAAGAAGCTCAAGTAGTAAGGGAGGGAGACACATACCACAATCCATATATGCAAGGGGTATTGGCAGGAATGGTATCTCTTCCAATTAATAGCTACAATGATTCTATAAAACCCCATTAAGGAAACTCAAAAAAGCTAACACCTAAATCACCTTAAACCCTATAAAAATCAAACACTAGTTCCTCAATTCCCACAAGAAGACCAAAACTAAAATGGGGATCATCAGGAATAAAAAAGGAAGAAACTTTCGAGGAACCCAAGAAGCAGAGAGGGTAAAGGATACACACTAGTTGCAAGCATCGACAAGAAGAACCCATCGTACCTGCACCAAAAAAATTTATAAAAAAACGTTACCCACACAGAAATTTAAAACGAATACGAAATATGAAAATTTGTGAAGAGGAGATCGAAAGTCGCCTCCTTTAGATCGACCCATAAGAAAAAGAAGAAGAAAGAAAGATAATTCACCACTTGAAATCGACACCTCTCATCGCCATGTGAGAGGGGACTCGTGGACAAGTTCAAATCCGATGGAACCCTAAGAAAATATCTGTAGATTTCCGAAATGTTTTAATCGAATTCGAAAATGGGTGGAGAGTAAAGGGTATCTAGCGGATTTATGATCGGTGAGTGAGGAGGAGAAAGAGTTTTTTTTTTTCTGGAGGTGAAGTAAAGTAATAGCGAATTAGCGATGAAGAAATTAAAGAGAAAAATGGAAACCTCTGGCTACGTAAGAAGGTTTCAAGATTTGGTTTAAAATCAAAGTAGCTTTAACAGATTAGGTTTGTTCAACTTCGATGGAGAAAGAGCAAAACAAAATTTATAGGTTAATCTATCTCAATCACACAAACAAAAGAACAATCTGACAATATTCTTTTATTGAAATAATAAAATCACTAGATCTTGACCCGCACTAATAATATTTTCAGTAAATTAATATAATTTATTTATATATTGTCTAACTTTATAATAATGTTTGTGTGACTTATAATATTATTCTTACAAATTTTTTATTTTTTTTACAATTTTTGTTTATCATAATTTATTATTCAACAATACTAATTACCATAACTTTTTCTTTATTTATGATTTGGAAATATATGTGGAGATTTAATTACACAATAGAAAAGAAAATTTGGGGATATTTCTAAAAAACTTACATAGCTTTTAACTTTTTTTTTAATAAATCAAAAATAAATTTAATTTAATTTTAATTAGATTTGATGATAGTTAAACTTTAATTAAATAATTTTCGAAAATATATTTTGAAAAGATTCTAAAAGATTTTTAAAAGTTTTTTTTAGATTTTTTTCAAATATTTATTAATATTTCAAATTAAAATTAAAGATATGAAAAGATATTATAAATAAGTTTTGTAAAATCTAATAAACTTTTGAAGAGATGGTCTAAAATGAAATCTCTATAATATTATTTGAGAAGTCAGTTTCCTATGTGTCGCGCTCACGTTAACTCTCACAATGGTTGATTACATAGATACCCTTATTGAACTAAAAATATTAAATAAGATTGATATTAATAATATATTTCCTTTTTTCATAATTAGATTTTACTTAATTTTTAATTTTACTTTTTAAAACACGTAAATAAAAAAGGAAATATTTCTAAAATATAAATATTTATATATAAATAAAATTTAATATTTGTTTTCGAAATTTTCCTAAAATAACATAGTTAGTGTTTATTTAAGAGATATTAAAAAGGAAAGTAAAAATATTTTTTTTTAAAATAAATATTTTGATCAAATAATTTCAAAATCCTTTTAAATAGCATAGCACTATACACTATTATTTAAATAGAAATATTATATTTTATCATTATTAAAAAATAATATTTAGTTTGCTTTTTAATTTTATATTTTTAATGTTTGTGGAACTTAATATATACATAATAAAAATACTCAAGTAAATATAAGTTCTCATTTTTAAGATTGTTTAAAATACGTTTCAGTTTACCTTATAAGAAATCTAAGGCATAAAATTATTTGGAATTTATAAATATTTAATTATTGTAAATATTAATATGTGCTCATGAAATTTCAAAAGTTTATCTTTATACTCATATTTATGTATGTAAATCCTATTAATCGTCACTTTATTTTTAATATTTCTTAAAAATCAACATATATCCCATTATTAAAATATTATAAAATACTTGCATTAAGCGATAAATAAAACTAATTTAATTCGATTTAATTAGAATAAAAAATAATTATTTTAATTTGAATTAGAAAAATATATATAACTCAATATACTCACAAAACGAGTAACATAACGAGACTAACTTATATCCAAACAAAAAGATCTAACTACAATAAGAACATATAATTTTAGAATAATTATTTATTGATGACAAAAAAAAATAATTATTATTTATTTTTATACATATAAATTACAGGATGACTCAAAAATATCAATATAAATAAATTATTAACCAACTATTATAATTCAGTTTTTTGTAAAATTTATATATATGAATGAGACTTCAGAATATTATATTTATATTCATTTATGTAATTTTGAGTCAAAATTTTAGTTTATTTTTAATTTCATTATTAGCACAATATATATTAAGTTATATATAATCTTACTAAAATATATTTACATATATAAGACGATAACCAATCTAAATGAAATAATAATCAAAGTTTTAGTATATTTAGAAGTAATATATTATAGTTGAATTAAAAAAAAATAGAGGCAATCTAAAATACCTAAGTGTAACCAAATCGACTATTGACCCAAAAAAGAACCAAACCGATTAAATATAATATCTCCCAAATCGTATATAGATATAAAATAATATAATATTATTAGTGTAAGTTATACATATAAATTATAAATTAATTTATAATCAAAAGTAAATATATATCTAAATTAATAAATTAGAATATATTACAACATATTTACTTAATAAATATTCATACCCGTGCATGAGCACGGGAAAATCACCTAGTATCACACATGAAAGAAGTCATGACTTCTGTTTTAATATATAAGATGTATAAAAAATATTACTCTACTAAAATATTGTATTACCTAATTTTCTAGATATGATGATAAAGTAAATTATCTACTAACTTTTGCTTTTTAAGAAAAAGCCTGTCTTAGTTTAGTGGCTATATATGGTAATACACCTTTTAATATTTTTTATGTTATCAATATTCTAAAATTTATTTTAGTATTGGTAGCTCAACCATTTAAAACATTCTTTTCTTAAAAAAAAAAACAAGGGCTACACCAAACAAAATTCCTTTAGATTCGTTTATACTATTTCTTTATAATATTTGTGGTCCCCTAAAACACCTTTCTTCGTATTAGCCAGCCGCAAGCGTAGACGCTAATATGGTCGCACTTAATTTCTGATTATAGGCTACTGCATGAAGGAGATGATTACTATTATGGACGATGACGAATACGGAGAGACCATGCAAGAAAGTAGTTAATAACTCCACACCTAACCTTAACTTCCTTTTCAAGTATCGTCTCTATATGCAGCTTGTATAAAACCAGTCCTTGATGCGAATAGTATCGGATGGAGTCAAAACATGACGATCAAGAAGTCCTATCGTGTGAACCTAGAAATTTCAATTCCGTGTTTAATTAAACAAGAAATATTTGATTGCGTGTTGGAAAAGTTTTTTTTTTTTGACAGACGTGTTGGAAAAGTTTAGGAATTACTTTTACTTAAAACCATGTTGGAGTTTAAAATGGTTAGCTATGAACTACATGTCCTCTGCTCTGAGAGCTCACGGTTCTCGTGGACAACGGGAGATTTAAGGTTAACGTTTGGCGTTAAAGCCCAAGTTAAGAGCTCACGGCTCGGACTGTATGGTACACCATACTCAGCCGATGTTAACATCTTCCCACACTCTGCTCCAAATATTTTGTAATGTAATTCTATCCTTGAAATCACCACATAGTTCCGGTAGTCTCTTACCAACAAAATCTCTTGCCAACTCATATTCTGATTTCATAAGACATGATCACTAACACATCAGAGTACTTTAATAGTTCCCCCAACCCACTGAGCTGGTCTTGAGAAAAAAATAGCATCAAAACATGTATGATTCTTGGGGGCTTTTGAAGACATATCATTGTTGTTAGGAGGAAGTCTTTGATCTCAGAGTATGAAACTTAGGGATCGAGTTGAAGACCACAACTTGAGATCTTCTAGACTATGAAAGTGACCTGGCCATGGATGAGTAAGAAACTGAGAAGGAAGATGATGCCATTTTTCTCTGCTTTATAAGACACATAACATATTCATACGAATGCAAACATATAAGTTACTCATTGAGGTGAAGTGGAAGTAATAATCTACCAAATATATGTCTATATGTCAAACAAATTAAGCAAAATGAATGTCCTTTCTCAAAAAAAAAAAAAAAAAAAATTCCAAGATAACCAGGGAAGAACTAAAGCAAGTAAACATCACAAGAAACTATTTTCTCCTCCTCACCTCCTTACAAGATTTGTTAAGTATTTGGTTTTCTAATTAAATCCAAAAAACAAGCAATTCAAATCAAAAACAACTCTCTTTCGCCAGTCTACCCATTGTGGAATTTTGTATTAAAAGACAGACAATTTTTCGGTTTGCAACATTTTTTTTACATGAATCCAAAGAAGACAAGAAAAATCAAAAAAATAGGAAGCAAATTTACTTTTGTTTGTGGTTACTCTCTAACAAGATAAAGAGATGTAATCGCCTTATCGTACTCAGATACACATCAATCATCATCCACCACATGCATGCTTCACATGTGGTGAAGAGAGCCAGCAAAACGTGATATTACTTATTATAGTTGTTCTTGCTGGAAAAGCCAGCGAGGTAAAGGCTAGTGTTGGTTCCAGTTTCAGGTCAAGGACATGTATATCTCCAGTGATGCAACTTGCCGAAACTCTTCTCTTGAAGGGTTATATTCAATCACTGTTACTCAGACCAGTTTGATGAGTCAGCAAATAAAGATAACTATTGAAGACTCATCTGCACAACAAAATCAACGTAAAGTTCAATCCAGAAATCTTACCGGAGTCTGACTTCAAGAAACTTGGGCCAATATGACCCGCGAGTTCATGTACTTTGCTGAAGCTGTAGCCAAAGAGTTTAACCTCCCCAACGTTATTTTCAGTACCACAAGTGCCACTGCTTTTGGTTGCCGCTCTGTATCCGAAAAATTCTATGCAGACTTGAACTGTGTAGTGTAAGCTCTTGATCAACACCGAAATACAGTTTCAAACAAAATGAATTAATAAACGGAAAATGTAACCTTTCTCATACTTTATGAAAGGACTATCTAGACTAGGGAATAAGGGATCAATGTCTCTAAAGAAGATAGACTTCACAATTTTGCATCTACTGGTTGCTATTGTATGAATAAGATGTCAGGATATCATAGAGATGAGAACACAGCCGACACACTCCACCAGTCGCCACTCGCCAAAACCATTCAATGACTCTTATACCTGCTGTTTCCACACTCCAACCACCACAGTAAAAAACATTCATCTTTCTTCAACACAATGGAAGGTTATTTCTTCCAACATAAATAAAACAATAAAAACTCTTGACATTTATCATGAAAAAAAAGAACCTATCAGTTCTTGGAATTAATAAATGGTATTGTCTTCCTTTTGTTATTCCACTAAGAGATAGTAGTTCAGATACGAAAGGAACACTTTAACAACTATAAAATGGCATCATTAGGATGATTAATACAAATAGGATTTTAATAACTGTAATTGATCAATTATTTAGAGCAGTTTGTCCATCGAGAGAGGGAGAGGAAGAAAGAAAGAGGTCACCCACCTTCATTGACTTTCCAGCATTGAGAAGGCATCATCAGCCCCTGCTTTCTTGAACAGCGAGGTTAAGCAAATGGAGAAAAAGCAAGCAAAGAGAAGGATAGTGTTAGTTCCAGTTACACTACAAGGACATTTAACTCCCTTTATGCAACTTGGGAAAGCCCTTAGCTTGAAGGGCTTCTCAATTACAGTTGCTCAGGGACAGTTCAACCGAGTAAGCCCTTCACAAGACTTCCCTGGGTTTCAATTTGTCACCATACCAGAAAGCTTACCTGAGTCTGAACTGAAGAGACTCGGGTCGGTTGAGTTTACTATAAAGCGCAACAAAATCAACGAGGCAAGCTTCAAGGATTGTATAGCTCAGTTGTTGATGCAACATGGTAATGATATAGCATGCATCATCTATGACGAGTTCATGTACTCCTGTGAAGCTGCAGCTAGAGAGTTTAAGATTCCTTGTGTCATCTTCACCACTACAAGTGCTACAAGTTATGTTTCACGATGCGTTCTTAACAAACTCAATGCCGAAAAGTTCTTCTCCGACATAGAAGGTGCCCAAAACTTATATATAGCTCGATACCAATCGTTTCACTAAACAATTTTTTTTACTTAGCAGATTCAGAGGTGCAAGAGAAGGTGGTGGAAAACTTGTATCCGTTAAGATACAAACACCTACTACCTTCAGGACTTGGTCCATTAGAGCCACTTCTGGAGCTTCGTAGGGAAGTAGTCAACAAAAGAACAGCTTCCGCTATTATAGTAAACACGTCGAGCTGTCTAGAGAACTCGTCTCTGTCATGGATGCAACAAGAACTCAAAATTCCTGTGCATCCCTTAGGCCCTCTTCACATTACAGCTTCAGCGTCTTCCAGTTTACTGAAACAAGACATGAGCTGCATTGAATGGCTGAACAAGCAGAAACCGAGGTCAGTCATATACATAAGCATGGGAAGCCTTGCTCGCATGGAAACTAAGGAAGCTTTGGAGATGGCCTGGGGTTTGTCTAATAGCAACCAACCATTCTTATGGGTCATCCGAAGCGGCTCCATCGTTGAGTCATTTCCAGATGAACTGAGTAAGATGGTGTCGAAAAGAGGATACATTGTGAAATGGGCACCGCAGATAGAAGTACTTGCGCATCCTGCGGTGGGAGGATTCTGGAGCCACTGTGGATGGAACTCAACGCTCGAGAGCATAGCGGAAGGAGTGCCAATGATTTGTAGGCCTTTTCATGGTGAGCAGAAGGTAAACGCAATGTATATAGAAAGCGTATGGAGTGTAGGAATACAGCTTGAAGGTGAAGTTGAAAGAGGACAGGTTGAAAGAGCTGTGAAAAGATTGATTGTGGATGAAGAAGGTGCATGCATGAGGGAGAGAGCACTTGTTCTAAAAGAGAAGGTCAAAGCCTCTGTGAGAGCTGGAGGCTCCTCATACAATGCATTGGATGAGCTCATCAAGTACTTGAAGACAGACTAAGAAGCTGCACTTCATGTATTACATATCGTCGAATTGTTTAGATAATCCAAACAAAAAGCAATTCAAATCTCTTCTGGTAGTTTGCCTAATATGAAATTGTTGAATTAAAGAAAATATATTTTTACATGAAGGCAAAGAAGACAAGAAAAAAAACAAGAAGTAGGAAATAACTTTACTTGTCTGTTGTTACTCTCTACATGTGGTGAAGAGAGCCAACAAGACGTGATAATGGGAAAGATACTTGTTTCAACAAAACTGTTAGTTCCAGTTTCCACAAATTCGTTCCTTCTTGGGCCAGCTTTGGTTTCTTAGTTACTTCTTTCATTCTTTAATGTTCAGCTCTCATTAGTCACTAAAGCGTCTCTTGTTTAATACAGCAAGAGCAATATACTTGACAGTGTCATTTCCCAAGAAAATCGTGATCCCGATATTACTTTCCCTGCAAAAAACTTCCGCAATATAACCCAAGGTAAAATCTCTCGATTAATCCCATGATTTGTCTTGACATTTGCGGTTCTTTTGCCGAGAAAGTTCCAAACCCAGTTGCATTAACTACGATGAGCCAAACTCAGATTCTCAGAGAATTTTGTGTTTCAACTTCCTTAGTAGCTTCAGCTTCAAGTCATATAATAGTTTGTGTATACACTTCTCTTTGTGCTTAACCTATTGTAGCAAATGATCCTGTTATCATATTCGAATCTTTCATGAAGATTCATGTTTGCTTTTGTAAGGATTAGTGGATAGATGTAATGTAATAATTAATTAGTCACCCTAGCGGAAAGAGCCTGGTGCTGAAAGCAAGAGACTTGTTACATTTTCGATATAACCAGGTTCTCACCACTTGTACATGCTTGTTTTTGTATCAACTTGGAACGATCTCTGCTATGAAAAAAACTGAGTTCATGTCTAATGGAAGTCTTGACAAGATTCCGAATCAGAACCAGTTGTACATTTTTGCTTGACTATATCATATTTGATTTGTTTAACATATTGTGGCCAGCCTTTGGTTCAGTGATTATTGAGCAATTAATTAGGTTTTTTTCGAATTCGTATAAACCACATCTCAGAGTGTTAAATGTCAACACTCACACAAATGAAACCTTGACAATGGTCATGGAGAAGCTAATGGCCTTGCAATGGCACAAGAAGGGATAACATCAGAAAGACACAAGCTTAATCATATGAAATCCATTCCCTAAGCTAAAGATTTAACGCATAACACGAGGATCTGCTTCTCTGTAACACGGATCGTTCTAAATCTGTATGTTTGTCACTCTTTCCTTCTTTATTTACACTTCTCATGTCTTTGTATTTTCTATTTACCAGGTGAAACTGCTGTAGAAAAGGAACACGCCACAGAGAGACAGAGATCAAATAATTAGGGTTTCTAAGGCGATAGAGTGACAGAGATAAATAAAAAAAAAAAAACAAACATATATGAACCGATTCCGACAATAAAAAAAGTAGTCATCATCCTAACACAATCAATCTCCTCTTCAAGATGGCTGTTTCTAATGCCTTTGTCCTTAGCCAAACCTCGTTATTGAAACACCATCATAATCCTTCTCTGACAACGATACGGATTCATGCTTTTCCAATGAACAACAAGACAACACGAGGTCTGATCCGTTGCGACCTTTCTTCCTCCTCCCCCACCGTCTCGGCTCTGCAACAGCTTAAGAAGTCTCCCATTGACAGTAGGAATCTCTTTATCATTTTTATTTGATAGGTTTTACCTTGTTTTTAAATCTTTCTATCTAATGGCATTTTAGGATACACAAAGGAGAGAAGCAGCATCGTTGTGATTGGACTCAGCATCCACACTGCTCCTTTAGAGATGCGTGAGAAGTTAGCCATTCCTCTCGCTGAATTGCCTCATGCTGTCTCTGAGTTGCGTGGTTTGAATCATATTGAGGAAGCTGCTGTTCTAAGTACTTGTAACCGTATGGAGATTTATGTCTTGGCTCTTTCTCAGCACCGTGGTGTCAGAGAAGTCACTCATTGGATGTCTAAGGTTTTTTTTTTTGTCTCTTACACTTGACTTATGTCTTGTTTGTGTGTGTTTTGTGCATAAAGTGACAAGCTTTGATTATTATTATACTCTTCAACATGACAAAGTTTATTGCTGTGATGATAATTATTCTAATGAACCCTGTTAGGAGCTTTAGATCATTATTAATCATGATCTCTTAGTGGGGTTCTTAACTTATGATCCAGCACTTTTTTTTTTTTTTACATTTTTTGGGTAAGAGACGGTTTCATATATCTCTTAGTTTAAAATTTAAGAAAAGCTAAGAATCGTCTCTTAGCCGAAGATTTATTAAAGATTTTAATAGTTTTTTTTTAATATAAATTTAAGGGTTTATGTCTATTTTCTTTCAAATGTTTCATTTGGTTTTGCCTAGGACAAGCCCTGCAAATGCTGACATAAAATGCTAATTTTGTTTTGGCAGAGAAGTGGAATCCCAGTTTCCGAGATATGTCAGCACTGGTTTCTCCTGTACAACAATGACGCCACGCAACATCTCTTTGAAGTCTCAGCTGGTCTGGATTCTCTTGTACTAGGAGAAGGCCAGATACTCTCACAGGTCAAACAAGTTAGAGAAAAATTACGCAGTGGGTTTGGTATGGTTATCCCTGGGCTGTTTGATAAGGCTATCACTGCTGGGAAGCTTGTTAGAACAGAGACATGTATCGCCTCTGGTGCTGTTTCCGTTAGCTCAGCTGCTGTCGAGCTTGCTCTCACCAAGCTTCTTCCAACAAAATCAGCATCCTCTGCTGTGATGTTGGTTGTTGGTGCAGGAAAGATGGGGAAGCTTGTGATCAAGCATTTGGTTGCTAAAGGTTGCAGTAAGATGGTTGTTGTGAACAGAAGTAAAGAGAGAGTTGAAGCTATCCAAGAGGAGATGATGCCACTTGGCGTTGAGATTGTTTATAAACCTTTTGATGAGATGCTAGCTTGTGCTGGAGAAGCTAATGTGATTTTCACTAGCACAGCATCTGAGACACCGTTGTTCTTGAAGGAACATGTTAAAACTCTCCCTCTTATGGATGATGCGAGGCTCTTTGTTGATATTTCTGTTCCTAGAAATGTTGGATCTTGTGTTGATGAACTAGACAGTGCAAGGGTTTACAACGTTGATGACCTTCAAGAAGTTGTTGCTGCGAATAAAGAAGACAGGGCGAGGAAAGCAATGGAAGCTCATGATATAATAGATGATGAGTCTAAGAAGTTTGAAGCGTGGAGGGACTCGCTGCAGACGGTTCCAACGATCAAGAAGTTGAGAAGAAAAACAGAGAGAATCAGAGCTGCTTCGGTTGAGAAGTTCATGTCGAGATATGGTAAAGACATGGATAAGAAGACGCGGGAAGCAGTGGATGATCTGACGCGAGGTATGCTGAACAAGATCCTGCACGGTCCAATGAAACATTTGAGATGCGATGACGGTGAGAACAGAGAGCTGCCTGAGACGCTAGAGAACATGGAGGCTCTCAACAGAATGTTTGAACTCGAGCTAGAGTTACTTGAGGAGAAGATCAGAGCAAAGATGGAACAAAAATAGAGAGGCATCGATTCTTTTTGGTAAGTAGAAGTCAGAAGACCAAAACTTGAGTCCAGAGTGAACATGTCCTTATTGATTGATGTCTTTGATGACGAGTAAAGCCACAATTGTTTTGTTACCTCAGTGTTTAACAAATAATGTTTACCACAGTTTTTAACTCCTGCGTTCGAAAGAGTGATAATTGGTAGGAATGTGTAACTTTTCGCAGCTTGTTTACATGTTTAGTTTCATGTTTTGAGGTTCTTCTCACAGAGATGCTTCAATGTCACCAATTTTGAAGTTTGTAACCAGGAGAAACCCATCTAATTACATGTGTGAATCATGAGAAGAAGACGGTTGTTACAGAGGAAGAAGACGGTTGTTTTGATGACTGGGAGGATTTCGCTGATGCTTTAGCAGCTGGTGAAGCAAATAATGAGAAACAGAATCGTCCTCCTGAGTCCTGTGAATAAGAGCATGATAGTATTATCAACCAGGCATGGAGGCCAGATGATAAGCTCCGAGTCCTCAGGGTCTACCTAATTTGGGAAAACAGCGGAGTTTTCCTGTCATGAGCTTGCGTTTTAGTTCTGAGGAAGTGACATCTTCTTGTCCTATTTGCTATAAAGATCTGATCTAGACGGATTCTAGTTTCTTACCATGCCCTTGTGGATTCCGGCTCTGCCTTTTCTGCCACAAGACGATTTGCGATGGAGATGGGCATTGTCCAAGGTTGCAGAATGCCGTATGAGAGAGGAACACAATCAAGGTTGAGACTAGTGTTCGAGATGGTGGTGGTCTGATTATTCGGCTTGCTCGTTCTTCTACCATGTTTTGCAGGTCATGAGGAGAGATGATGTTGCTTTTCTAGGGCTTTGTCTGTCTGTTTTGTTCCCTTCTTTGTCTTTGCTTGGCATGTTATTCTTTTTGACATGGATAGGATGTGTCTATGTCAAATGACACTTCTTGGTCTGAAACATGTGGTGGTGGAGCTGATGTAGAGTTGTGTGTGCGAGTACATAAAGTGTGGTACATGAATTTCAAATACATAGCGCTTCAACAAGTCTATTTTCCATTGCCCCCTAGAACCTTGCTATCATAGAATGGACCATGAACATTATTTTGCTATTGATATAGTCTGGTTTTGTTGCTATTGGTATACTTTCTGCGTTGATCTATGGTATGCATCATTGAATTGGCCGGTGCATGATTCTGATGGAAGGTAGGAACTTCTTGGCAATGCGAAAATCTACTATTTTGTTTACTTGTGTCTAGGAAACAAATCAATCCAGCTATAGAAGAGCAGAAGGCAAGTTTTATGTGGTGTGTTTAGGGATGTTAATATGGGCTCAAGTTAAAAGGGTTAGCCCTAGCCATGCATAAATATTATTAGCCCTAACCCTTACTTTTGATTCAGGGTTTAAAAAGAGTTACCCATAATCAACCCGAGAGTTATAGGGCCTATTTTAAACCCATTTATTTTACTTCATACAAATGTTTAACTATATACTTAAATTTTAATTTTGTTTGAATATATAAAAATTAATTTTCCCATCACTTAGTAAAATTAAAATTACTTGCCAATATCTCAAAAACCAAGTATTTTTCGCCAAATTCAATTTTGCGATTTTGACGGGAAAACTCGATTTTGCGGTTTTGGCAAAAAATTGGATTTTCAGTTTTAGCTCGAAAACTTGATTTCACGGTTTTGGCGAGAAAACTCAATTTCATGGTTTTGGCACAAAAACCCGATTTCACGGTTTTGGCGGGAAAACTCGATTTCACGGTTTTGGCGGGAAAACCCACTTTCATGGTTTTGACGAGAAAACCCGATTTCACAGTTTTGGCGGGAAAATCCGATTTCACGGTTTTGCCGGAAAAATCCGATTTCACGGTTTTGGCGGAAAAACTCGATTCACAATTTTGGCGGAAAAACTCGACTCACAGTTTTGCGGGAAAACTCAATTCACGGTTGTAGCAGAAAAATCTGATTTCACGGTTTTGGTGGAAAAACTCGATTCACGATTTTGGCGGGAAAACTCGATTCACAGTTTTGCGGGAAAACTCAATTCACGGTTGTAGCAGAAAAATCTGATTTCACGGTTTTGGCAGGAAAACTCGATTTCACGGTTTTGGCGGGAAAACTCGATTTCATGGTTTTGACGGGAAAACTTGATTTCACAGTTTTGGCGGGAAAACTCAATTTCATGATTATGGAGGGAAAACTCGATTTTGCGGTTTAGTCAAAAAAAATTGATTTCACGGTTTTGGTGGGAGACTAAATTTATAAAATTTAATTTTGCGATTTTAACTGAATTTTTTTTTTTGCTTTACACTTTAAAGCAAAAATGAATAAAATAGGAAAAAGTATTTAAATGGGCTAACCCTAGTACCAGCCCTATCTCTTGATTGAAAGAGGGTTAAAATAGGGCTTGGTATAATTTAAACCAGTGTTTTACCCGCACATGCGGGCTTAATTATTTTTAAATCAATTTAAAAAAACAGCAAGATAAATAATTATTTACATCCAAAAAAATCGACCTAAAACATTAAACTTTATTACATGATAAAGTTATTCACAAACTAAAAAAAATCTATTTTTTCTTCTAAAACTTTGAAAAATCAAAAGTCTATTTCATTTATTCTTAGTTGATAAAAAATAAAGTAATATATCTTTCAATTTGAAAAATTGAATCGATAAATATTCATTCAAAAATTGATCTTACAAAAAGAATAATATTAGTTTGTATAATAATACAATATATTTGAATTTATTTTTGTCAAATACATATTTTCCTCCTTTTTGAATGATCTTTTATTTTAATTTGAAAATAATTACGTATTATATTTTTTCAATTTTTCTTTAATTATTTTTAAATCAAATTAAAAATCATCAAAATAAATGATTATTTGCATCCAAAAAATTCGATCTAAAACATTAAACTTTTTTACATGATAAAGTTATTCACAAACTAAAAAAAATCTATTTTTTCCTTTTAAGCTTTGAAAAATATAAAGTCTATTTCATTTTTTCTTAATTGATAAAAATATAGTAATCTATCTTTCAATTTTAAAATTGAATCGATAAATATACATTCAAAATTTTATCTTACAGAAAGAATAATATTAGTTTGGATAATAATACAAGATATTTTAATTTATTTTTTCAAACACGTATTTTCTTTCTTTTTGAATGATATTTTATTTTTATTTGAAAATAATTACGTATTATAATTTTTTCAATTTTCTCTTTTGAATGATATACAATTGAAAATTTTACTTTATGAATATTTATTTACGTTTTGTCTGTTATTGAATTGTTTTTGTTAAAAAAAAAATATTTTCTAGATAACAACACAATATATATAGGAATTATCTTTTTTATTTTTAAATATATATTTTGATTATGGATAATTCTTATCATTATTATTAATTTAAATCATTTATCTAATAAAATAAGTATTAAATCCATTTTTACTTTTGGCTGATTTATATTTTTTATTCATTAAGGATATAAACGATATTAATCACTCCAAGTTTTAACGTGAGAGTTCTGTTGCGCAAAATCATTTCGCAAATCTATATATATAAAGAAGGGTTTCCCTCTTTTCTATGATGCCACGTCAGAAAATAGATGAAAGAAATTGTGACACGTGGCAAAAGAAAAGGTGAAATCGTATTTTGTTTCTGTTGAGTTTATTGAGTTTCTTTGTGGGCTCTCACCTATCTGTTCAATTTATATGGGTCTACATATTTATAAAGATGGCCCATTTGTAAGTAGAAAGACTACTGTTCATCTTTTCTTTAGACCGGCCGTCAATCTGTTCAGCTTACGGACGAGAATAATATTTTGAGGCGTTAAGGAATCAATATGAACGCAAGCGACATCTTTAACCGACGCATAAAGCAAATATCTTAATTCCTACCACGATTTCTCCTTGAATGCATCTCCACTAATTCTTTGCTTTGGATCTCTGAAACTCTGACTATAAAAAGGTATGTTCTATACCCTCAAATTCATCAGTTCAAGCTTCTTAGTCATAAATTTTCTAAAAATCCAGCTTTCGTTTATGTGAGAAAATTTAGATTTAGATTTTGTTGGTTGATTTTTTTAAAAAAATGTTCTTTTATTGATTTTTTTTATTCCTATAAGTTTCTTTATGTTTGCCACCTTAGCTTGCTGTTCACATTTCCTAGGGTTATAGATCAACTCTTCACAGAAAAGTAAATAACTTTATTTGGCCTTTATTCAATTTCGCAGCTACTGGTGTTAGATTTATTGTTCTCAAACTTTATTGATGATCATATCTTCGTTATGATCCTCCTTTGGGGTTGTTAAAGAATACGTTAACTGAAACTTCTCATTGCAGTAGAATGGCGAACGGATCTCTCTTACTTGGTGATTTGAAAGCTGGCCGGTGTTCTTCCTCCGTCGAGGTTTGAATTCTGAGGTTTTGAGAAGTCATGAACGTCAAACGCGAGAGCTTATGGGTGGACATGCTCCTTCTCTACGCCAAGATAATCCCAGTGAAAAACTTATGAACTTTATGTGCTTAAAAACAAAAGGTTCTGTTAAAAGTCAATATAAACAACCTTTTGATTCAACAGTATTTTCTTAACATATTCCGAAGATTTTTTCCACGAGTTATTTTATTTTTTTCCGTTATGTTCATGTATTGATTATCAACGTCTTCTGAGTCTGGAGCTTAGAGCATGGAGGACTTTAAGTCGCTGAGAGAGAGCTCAGGTATCCATAAGTTAGCAGGAAAGGGATTAGAAGACAGTTTCGGATACAGCGTTGAAGATTCTTACAGACTGAGGCCAAGATGGCTGTTGAATCATCACGGCAGAGTCACTACAAAACAGAAACATATCCACAACAAAGTGGAGAAGACTAAAATTTATGTGGTATGAGAGAAAGTGCTTTTACTGAATCTAATTGGAAACTTTCATAGAGAAGAATGAAGTGGAATGGGGTTCTCCTTATTATCTCTGGGAGATAAACCCATGGATGTGTGATT